GTTTGGTTGATGGTTTATTGATCATTATAGGTGTTATCAATCATTTATTGTTGTTGTTGTTTTTAGTTTGAGTTGAGAAATAAACATTAATCTGTGTGTGCATTTTACTTTAGAACCAAGCAAGTTGGACTCATGAAACCATTTTATTATATCGGAGTCGCAAATCGCAATTGCAATATTGGCTCAATAATGGCAATATGACATTTTCCCAAATCGTGCAGCCCTACTAAGCATAGATTATAGATACCATCCCTTCGCTATGTTCTTTTCAATGTGAAGCGTTGCGTGCTGTGACTTGGTGTTGCTTCAAGTGCATCATTCTGCACACGGGATGCGCATGATTGCTTATAATACTTTGGGGAGACAAGGGGGCGTGGCCTAAGGGAATAGCACTCGTGATGTTAAGTGATGTTACCCCGCCATCGCTGATACAACCTTTAGCAGTCATGTTTTTGCTTCTTGAGAGAGAGAGAAAGTGTGTGTGTGTGTGTGTGTGTGAGCAATGGCGGTTCTAGGCGGGGGCCTGGGGGGGCCAGTGCCCCTGCGACAACAAGCTTGGACCCCCTTGTGGCCCCCTAAATGTGGAGTCAGTGTGAAATATTTTTTTATAGTGTGTCACGCATTGAGCATGACAGTCACTCGTTTCAGTCTTTTGTCTCACACTTCCGTCACACATTGTATTTCTCATGCGGAAAAACTATTAATAATATATTTAATATACGCAATTTCTCTGGCCGCGCCGCTCTCACGTGAGAATCAAGCGCGTTTCGCCTGGAGTTCAGCAGTCGACCCTGCTACGCATCAGCCAATCAAAAAAAGAGAAGTGCTACTACATTGGTTGTTAGTTTTATCTACAGTTACAAAAATCGGTATATTGTACTCCTCAAGCCGTACAACTTTCTAATACATAGTCATTAGCTCGGACCAAGAGGAAGTCAGATATTTTGGTCTGAATATGGTGAGCCTCTCTCTGAGCCTACGTCCCTGTATGGCAAGCCCTTTTAACATTTAAAAGCTAAGTTTGCCTGTCCGGAATTAACATTGTAGATATCAACAACGTCTTTCTGTCTAGTCGTTACACTTTGGATAGTTTGTATTATCATTTAAGATATCTGTAACATAATTGTGACTAGTCGAAATGACAGAGTATGGCAAGCCGCTTTAACATTTAATCATGAAAGGGCCAAAGCCTTCGGCACCGCCACCCGGGTGCCTTTAGGTAACTAAAGGAACCGGGGTTGCGGTGCCTCCGGCTTGGGCCCGCCATCGCTGCTCGCAGCTATATTTATGTTTGTTTTTTATTGAATGAAAAGAACAGTCTCATAAGACTAATTTGTTAGGGAATTGGACTACACTGCAGCTAGTGGTGTATGTTTTTGAATTATTAAAAAAAAAAGTCATTAATTCAGTTGTAGGATTAATACTGATTGCATGTTAGTTTATTTGATTTTATTTTCCCCACACATTTTGTTCACACATCTGCAATTCACTGAAAAGAACAGGCTCGTATGTTTCATTTGTTTAAGAATGTAGGAATTCTCTGGTCATAATGTATGTTTTTTGATTCACAAAAAAAGAAACAATGTGTTCATGAATTGGAGTTTACTGAATTCTAATATTTCTAAATTCTATAATGTAAAAAATTCTAAAATAACGCTGACTCATAAGACTCATTTGACACTATTACTGAAACGCTATGCAGTACGAATCAATTATAAACACAGGGATACTTCAGGATTTAGCATTAAGCTTTGTAATAGAAAACCTGTAGTATTTTCGAATTGCAATGCTTTCCACCCTCATATCCCCCTGAGATGAGAGATTTATGGAGTTTTTTGTCTGGAAAAAAATCCTCCAATGACACAAAAAGCGTCATTTTGCGTATTTTTTCGCCAGAGGCTAAAGACTACAGCCAGTAGTCATGTTTTCAACCCGTCTATAGAGGGTGGGATCTCACCCACAGAATGTACATATACTATCAGCCATCTTTTTTGGAAGCTAAGCTAGCAGGCTCTTGTTCTGTGGAGAAAGCTGAATAGTAGGGATGACCATCCTCTTTTTCCTGGACATGTACGGCCGTCAATATCCGGGATTCAGCTTTCTGCAGTCGCCATTCATTGTTTACATTCACACCTTTTGTTTCAATCTAACTGAATTCATTCCGAAGAAAATTCCCGCTCCTTCGTGAGAGATATACGAGACCGGTGTGTCTCACGGGTGTCACTCATTAGAATCGTGCCACCGGCCTCGCGCTGTTCTCCCTGTGTAGAACGCAAAATGTATAACGCAAAAGCCGAATCCCGGACATTTTGGGCGATCTCGAAACACATTTTCGGGCACTACGGACACTCACTAGCCTAGACTTGTTGTTTAACTACTGCGCTCTGTTACCGGTAGGCGTGGCCTTATAGGGCAGCGAAACAAGTGCATTCTGGGAGTTGTTGTCTTTCATCCACATAAGCCAAAAATACATTTTCTGGCTTTTCTCAGTCTAGACTTCAAAAATACTTTCACATTTCTTCTACATAAATGACCCATTTTAAAAGCACATTCATCTTTCCAGAGGGGAAGTATCCCTTCAAATCCAGGTGCATTTCCGCCTCCTCCCAACGACGTGGGGCTGATTACCAAAGTAGCAAATGAGTGGCGTGTGGCATACTGGCGTGTAATGGAAAAACTCCAGACAGGGTTGCAAGCAGTGCAATGCGGCCCTATAGAACAATAACCTCCAGATGTCTGCTGCAGAGCTGCAGGCTGACTGATGCCCAAACGGGTTTCTTCTCAGCAGGGAGCGATGGGGAGCCAGCTGGCAGGGCTGGTTCTTCTGGAGCTACGGGAGCTCAGGGCAATCCAGGCAGCCATTTCACACACGCTGACTCCCAAATGCGCCCACACACACGCATGCATGCACGTATACATAGCTGCACATTCCCTACATCTGCCGTGCACCGTCCCACAACACAACATGCTTGTTCTAGTTTATTCTTTCCTCACTGTCTGTTCTAATGGGTGCAGTGCTTGTTGCCCTACCAGAGGAATAAGACTTTTCATTAGGCATGCTGTTGTAAGTCTGCGCCTTTCATTGGCACCGCCACGCGATGCATGAAACCAGCCTGGATCTTCCTGTGCTGTTGGCTACACATTCGGAGGAATGCTTCCTTGGTGCCAGTGAGAGCTGATTGATAAATCAAGGTCTTTATCACAGCTCCCAATGTCTGTCCCAATGTTTGTCAGCAGGCAAAAAACGATAGGGATGGAGTGAGAGACAGATCGAGATGATGAATAGCCTGCGTTAATGAACAGATCTGTGAGGGGAGAGATAAGGCTTTTGTCTGTGTTCGAACACATTCGGCGTGTGTCTCTGAATGCCTCACGAAGGTCACATTGCTGACCGGGCATGTGGTGTCTAGAGACCTATGAAATCCTTTCTCCCCAAAAATTCCTTCTTTCTTCCATTTTTAGTATATAGTATATATATATATATATTTTTTTTTTCTTTTTTATATTAATTCTGCTTTAAAGAATAAAACGAACGATTTAATGATTTATTAACATTTTTATACTTGTGATGAAATTATGTCTTTTCAGGAGTTCTTTGTTGTGATTTATGATTTAATTCAAATTAATTATTGAACAGCCCATTCTCACTCCCAAGGCGTCACCTAACTGACGCCTTGGGAAGCATTTGACCATGCTTCAATATCTGACGCTTTAGGCGCCCTTTAGCGTCAGTTAGATGACGCCCTAGGATCGCGTGTACCCTACCCTCACCCCAGACCTAAACCTAACCGCGTCCTCTAACTGACGCTTTCCTATAGCGTCAGTTAGATGACGCCGTAGGATCGCGTCATGTAAGTGACGCTAAAGGGCGCCTAAAACGTCAAATATTGAAGCATGGTCAAAGGTGACGCCTTGGGGTGAGAATGTGTTGTATTGAATGAAGGCATAACACAATAGCAATTTGATTAATCTTTTAAAATGCAATCAAATTAAAATGCAAGTGCTTTTTATTTAACAAAGTGCTGCACAACAGGTTTACTATTAAAATGAAATACGAAATAAAAACGGTGGATATTCATTGAAGTTTTACAAATGTTGTTGTTGTTATTATTATTTAAAAAAATCGGTAAATTCTATTTTTAATACCGAATTCCCCACAGCATTTTCTATCCGCATTTTCCGCATCACCCATAGCTTCCAGGTGTCACCACCTGGCGAATTGGCACTGTAGATCCAGAAGTTTTGAATGTCTTCTCATGATTTATCTTTTGTTTGGGAGGATTATTTTGCCTTCACTGCTCAACTTGATTTCCCTTCGATCTCTTTTTTCATTCTCCAACCTCTTCTTTCTCTATTTCACCCTCTTATGCACAGTAATTCCACCTGCCACCCCCCGAAAGGTCTCGTTGAAGCTTCTCTCTCGTGCTGCAGCAGGTACCTGTGAGCTTCGTGGATGAGCAGAGCTGAGGCGGAAGTGATTTTATCAGCGCCTCACAGCTGCCCTCCTCACTCGATCACCGCTCCCTCCCTGCCACGACACAATCCCTCCATTTTCCGAGCCCCTGCAGCCAGAGCCATCAAGCTGTGAAAAATTAAAACAAAAGAGGGAAAAAAAATACAATATGTTTGCTCAGATTTGCCTCACATCTGTTCGAGCTCTTCTGCCGACAAACCGTGTTTGTGAGACATTGATAGGCTGACCTGCCTACGCATGCTTGAGTTGGCAGCCCCCGCCAGGGGGACGGGAGACAGACCGAGAGAGAGAGAGAGAGAGAGAGAGAGAGAACTGGGATTTAGCAAATGTGCCTCGGCTTGAAAATGCAGTGCCACAGACGTCGTGGTGTCAGGGGGAGAAACAGCAACACGGGATTGGATGAAAAGCTGACAATTCCGAGATGAGCGCTAAAGACATTAAATGAACCGCAGGACAGTCCCGTTCCCCACACACTCAGTCAGCTGCTTTGAAAAACGGTGGCTGTTTGATTGGTCGCTTCAGCCCTTTCCTTGGCCTTTGGATGAATCAAGTAAGGGTCAGCGGCAGCTCTAGTTTTTCTTGTCTAAATTATTGATGTGGTATTCCATCAATCTTTTTCATTGGGTACCCATGAGGAAATGTCATGGTATGCGTCACTGTGGTATTGCTGTGTTATAAGGGCTGGTTTACAAAGGCCTTGACGCGATTTGTCATTTTGATTGGTCGTTTTAGCAGAAACCCCACAGCTCTGTTTACGGTCTTGGCTCGGGGCTCAGGTGTGCACGTACCGTTCCACGACTGTTTGTTACCGTTGCCTCACAAATAATGATTATTGATTAGTAGTAATTAGACAGGTGTGTTTGTCTCTTCAAACCTTCTATTGTACGGTCTAAATTGCTTTTTTATAACTCTGAAGACTTAAAAGAGTTTTCCGTTGTGATTTTATTTTCTCAATGTGGCATGGTTTTGTCCATGAAGAAGAGGGGGAAGAAGGTTAGTGTGCAAATAACAAAATAACTTCATTAATATACAAAACAAAGGAAGTATTCCAAACAGAGTAGCAGCACCATTTGCTCCACATTTAACCTCTTTGTTGTGCATGAAAAACATTTGAGAAATCAAAGAGAACTCATTTAGGATTTTTCGTTTCAATCATCATGATCTAATTTATAGCGTCAGCTTCTTTGAAGTTTCTTTTTAATGTACCTTCTATGTGTGTGAATGTGAAGATCTGCTTCATATGGAGTGTACTTATCTGTTCTCCACAGATTGCTGGGGATGGTATCAATGGCGAATCCTCCCACATCCACTATCAAAATCCCAGGGTCATTACGTTTCCACGACAACACCAGCGAGGCTCGTCCAATGGGTTGCGGCGACAGAAGCGAGACTGGGTCATTCCACCAATCAACGTGCCAGAGAACTCCAGAGGACCCTTCCCTCAAGTTCTTGTCATGGTCAGTAATGGTTACGGCTGAAAGCTTACTTGTTGTAAACAGTATGAAAGATTAGTCAGGTTTATTTTGATTAAACACACAATACCTCAACGTCTTCCGCCTGCTTTGATATCTCCAATGCTTTTACTTGACGATCATATAGAATATTTTGACAGATGCTGCTCAGTTATTAGTAAAACAGATATGACACTCAGCCTTGAATGAAATGTCTCAAGATCTTGGCAAGCTGTGTATCTCAGAACAGACAGTTCCACGACTCAAGTTTCACCGTGTCCCTTTGAGACATAAAAGAACAAGCCTCTCTCAAGTCTCCTCACAGAAGCTTTTACTTTTTTTTTTTTTGCTCTTCTGAAAGACAGAGCTTTCCTCGCCGCATCTCTTGAAACCGCAGAGAAACCTAAGAGGTTAAAAAGCAGTATCACAGGTGAACATTTTCAAGGGTCTTCTTTCAGACAGCTCTTCTGCGTCTGCCGCTGAGAGCCCTTCTAAGGTAAGGAGAGGACTTGTGCTCCCTCTCTGAGTCAAGGGTTGATGAGGAAGGGGCTTGGAGGTAGATTGGCCCAGGGTATCAATAACTCTCATCCATCTAATGCTTCTACAAAGCCTCTCCTTACCTTTCTCCAGTTTTAGATGAGAAATGAGGTTTGCGGGATCTTTTGTGTCATATCTGAAGGGTTCACTGCTGGGTTACGTGTGAATGTGTAAGGCTAAATGTACGACACTGAGTACCAGTGCCACCCAGGATTGAACTAAGAATCTGAATGAAAATTAAAAAGATATGAATATACAGTATCACTTTAAAAAAAAAAAAAATTGAGAACTTTAGTTTAAGGCAACCAGCTGCAGGACATTTTTGAGTTTTCTCAACTTAGGGTCATTAGTTGTACAGACGTTTTCATGTTAAATAGTTTAACTTTAAAAACAGAATTTGTCAAACAAAATGTAAGTTAGACCATCAAAGATTAAAGGAGCTGTATGTAAGATTGTGGCCAAAACTGGTACTGCAATCAATTTCAAATTACTGTAGAGCAGTGTATCCCCTCCCACTCCCCCCTGACTCGAGGTTGCCAGATACGCTGCAGGATCAAACAGTTTTGTATCTGCAGATGTGGTAACTAGAGCAAAGCTGGCAACCCGAATGCTGCAACACTACTGATTTTGTGATTGGTAGATCGGTGGAAGGTGGAGCATCAGACCAAATGCTGCGTTCAAGTCCTCCTGGGAAGTTCGTACATACGAGGTGGGAAGTCGTGTTTACGACGTGAGGTGCGTTCAAGTCAGTTTCGTCGGAGCAAAATGGCGGTGTACCTTCTTTTAATGAATTACACGAAAATACAGCAAGGTTTGTTATCTCTGCTAATAAAAAAAAAATGAAGAACAAAGAATGCGCATCAGGTGTGTTTTCTTTTTATGTTTTTATTAGCTTAAGAAGCCAATGTAAACTCTATCATTAGGTATAATTTTTATATTATAATGATATCATATTTTGTTGCAGAAAGCTTGCTTTATAAATGAAAAAGCCTTACAATGTCAATGAGTAAACATTAAAATTCAATTAAAATTTACCGTCAACAGACGTTGAATGAACGTTTCTCACTGACACGCCCCCAACTCGTACAGATCGGGGCTTAAAGAAATTCCTGAGCTCCCCACTGGTATTTACGACTTTGTGGTGGCGTTCAAGTGCGTTCAACTCGTAATTACGATCTACATGAGATGACTTGAACGCAGCATAAACACAACATGACAGTTGAGGGCTGCAAATTCACTTTATAAATGACAATATCCTGGCCGGACTGCTATTGTCGGTGATATAAGTATTTGAAATGAACATGATTTGTTATATTTTTTATGATTTTTTATGTTTTATGATTCTTAATGTCTAGTGACATATCAGGGCCATTTTATGATTATTTGAAATCAATTTCTTACATACAGCTGCTTTAAGACAAACAAATCGAATCAGTAAAAAAAAAAAAAAACACTTTGGAAGACAGTTGTTGTATTACATTATTTACCCATCAGAATTGAGTATTTAAGAGAGCTGTGCAAGAAGAAATAATGTAATTGAGGACTGTATTGGAATATTCTAACTGGGGTGGTATGGCAGCAGGTACTCCAGCTATTGAAGAAGATGTGTTCTCATGAAGAGTTTTTTTATAGAAACCAGCACAAAAACGCACATCTCTGCGGTACTTTGAGGTGTGTTATCCATGCTTGGGCTCCTCTGGGCTTCTACAAGCTTAAGTTTGTGTTATCTGTCATTCAGACTCCAGTCTGGACTTAGCATTCTCTGGACTGTCCTCATAAACTCCCTCATGGCCACTTGTACCTACACCCATGGATTACCACAATCTCTTTCCACCGATGCACACGCAGACACATGGGCATCCCTTTAAACCAGCCATATGGAAAGATTAGAAAACCTGGAAAAAAGCATGGAATCCAGTTGAAGAGTTTTGATAACCCTTCTCACCTCTAGCCTTAAATGTTTGGCTTTAGAGACCTAGGCCTGTGGGTGTGTGTGGTGCTGGCATGTTCTTTTGTTGGCTATTTTCAGGCAATAAAAGATTACCTGTGGTGGCCCATACAAGGCAAAATCTGCACTGTGTCAAAGCAAAATTATTATGTACCAAAAAACTGGCTTCTTTTCAGCTCTCTGGATTTCACTGTACATAGAGAATTCTTAATTTTGAGGCTTATATTCCACGTCAAAAAAACCTTTATGCATTTCTGAACAAACTCTATAATGTATAAGTCTTGTAGTACCAAGGACATGATGTAACACTCAAGACCTTGAATTACACCCGTACATTTGCATGTCGTTTAAAAAATTGAATCCTTAATTCACATCTGAGCACATTTCACTCAATAAAGCTTATAGCCTGTCCCATTTTTAGCTCTCGAAATTTGCGCTTGTTTCACCGAATTCATCAATACACTTTCTGATATCATAGGTGTAAGAAACCCCAAATTTGGAGGATAGTTTATACCCAGATTTCTAAACAGAAAATCCACCAGTAGTGAGAATTCAAACACAGACGGTGATTATTTTCACTTCTAAAAGACGATATGAGATTAATAGAAAGCATTCTTCCTGAGAGCTTGATTCCAAAACATCCAGGGATGTGGTGAGCATGAACAGGTAAGTAATCCTTTCCCGTAATGGGACCGTTAGAAATGACATGCTTTCACAGTTCATCGATAGATATATAAGTGAATGGATCTTAACTGACCAGATACCGAAGCGCAATTTCTCCAACAATTTCTCTTGATTATCATAGTTAAACTCAGAATTCAGATTTAAAGTCTGTTAAACCAAGAATGAATTCGCGAATACAGAAGAAACTGTTAAGTCTGATTTCAGAGAGGCAAGTAATTCCAATTAACAGGAATGGGGGAGTCACGTTTGAATTCGTGGTGTTTTTTAAAGACACGTGTCGTCGAATAAATGCAATATCACACGGCACACGCATATCAATATGGCTCTGCAACAGGACAACTGTGATCGCCTAGCATAGAGTGATATTGCACGGCTACTCATGCGATGTTGCTCATATATGAAAAAGAATTCATATAATTCTCCCACAACTCCTACTGTTGTCTAAATATCTCTATCACACAATTGTCACTTCTCTGCCTATTGTCTTGAGAGGCACAGCACTGAAAGGACAACAGCGAGATTCATTGGCATTATTAAAAGCAAAGCAGCGTTTATTCTTGTTTACATTTTCTACATCCCCAATTACCTACGAAATTCGAATTCCAATAAACAATACATCCACACAACACACGCAAACAAAATGAATGCGGTGAATTCTTAATTTACTGACTAGCTTGAATCAATTTCCATTCTCCCATATTGGTCCATTAGCTCCGAGGGGAGATAGGGAAGCTCATTGCACCTGGCCAGCTCCAATATTCACATTGTCTGTGTCCTATTATTTGGTGAGCAGATCTGGGGCTTTGTCGTCGCATGGATGATTTACAGAACGAACTGCAAAGGGGTATGTGCGCTAATGCCGCTAATGCCTGCTTCCGCTTGACAATGGTGTTCGATGATACCTGGATCTGGGATCCTAGTGAATAAATAGAAATTGATGTTTTGCAACATAAAGCTTGGACATCTTTGCAACATTACACTAACCTGCTTGTTTTTTAGTACCTCAAGAGTAGCATAGCGCAATAAAAAAGTAATAATGCTGTTGTGACTAAAGAGAAGCAGGAACAGTTTGTGTAGAAAATCAACATTGTAGGATTATAGGAATATTTCATCTAGAAATGAAAATTCTGTCATAATTTAGCTGTCTTTATGTAACCTTTCTATCACAGAACACTGAAAGAAATTGTGAGGACTGTTTCCATGCTCTTCTCCATGCAATTGTAATGAGCTGAAACTGAAGATTTCAAAGATGCCAATACTATAAATCATCAACAAATCATCCATATGATATTTGCATTCAAAAGAGTTTATGAAAGAAAGACATTTGTGAATAAATAATTATTCTAACTTAGATATTTTTATTGAATCATTTAATCTGCTTCACAAAACAGGTCTGAATTCCTTTGAAAATCAAACTGATCCCGTTCTTAAAGGAGTTGTTCACTTTAAAAAAAAAAAAAAGTTTTCTCCATATAATGCACTTTACTCGTTCGAACTCGTTCATCAAAATGAACAAATCTGTTCCCGAGTCAATTCGTTCATTTCGTTCGTTTAATGAACCAAATGACTCGAAAAAAGATTTGTTCGAACAGGAGAGTCACGAATGTGCATCACAGAACAGAGCAAGGCGACCATTTGAGCTTATAAAACTTTTTTTTTTTTTTTTTTTTTTAATGAGCGATCGTTTCGCTCGATAAGACCCTTATTCATCGTCTGGAATCGTTTAAAGCCCTTTGAACAGTTTGTAGTTTGCACTGAAACTGTCTTTTGGACCTTGAAACGTAAAGTGCATTATATGGAGAAAAATCCTGGAATGTTTTCATCAAAAACCTTAATT